ACAGTACCTTCATCCCCCAGTCTGCTGTTTCTAGTATTCTATGGTGAAGAAGCCAGATGACCTGCCAGAATATACAGCATAGTTACTTCTATAGTTTTTGTGTGAGGGTCCAAAAGTCTCTCCTATGGACCCAAGTATATGAAATTATTTTCCTGCATGAGTTGTGACAGCTACTTTTGAAGCTGGAAAGTCAAAAATGTTCATAACTGAATTCCCAGCTCTAGAATTCATCTGACTCCCATCAGTGTTTCCCAGTGCAGACTGCTGGCAAGCTGTACTGGACAATTCTTTGTGCAGGACTATCCTACACATTGCAATGTGTTTAAAAGTCCATGGCTATTAAATGCCATCAGTACCTCCACACACATTACAGCAAGAAAAAACAAATGAAAAAAACCCCACATATTTGAGTACGCTAGGATACCAGGAAGATGACTAGTTCAATAAAGGACCCCCAGGCAAGGCACAATAACTCATGCCTATAATATCAGCATTCTAAAAGGCCAGGGGTTCAAGACCAACCTGGGTCAGCAAGTTATAGAGACCCTATCTCTACAAAAAAGTAAAAAAAAAAAATAGGCAGATGTAGTGGCAGGTACCTTTCGTCCTAGCTTCTCAGTAGGCTTGAGGCCAGAGGACTGCTTGACCCCAGGAGTTAAGATTATAGTAAGCTATAACTGTGCCACTATACTCCAACCCAGGTGACAGAACAAGACCTTGTCTCAAAAAAAAAAAAAAAAAAAGGAAAAAAGAACTCTCAAATCCATGTTCAAGCATGCCCGTACTCTATGCCTGAGATGCCTTAGTTTCCTCATGTTGATTCCTACTAGGAATTCCAAGACACCAGTCTGTATTTAAAAAGATACCTTCTGCCCATAATCAGAACTTGATAAAATTCAAGTTCTATGATGATGGCATTTAGAATGGCAACCAAATCCCTAAAACTCTTCACCAATCTACCTGTCTTCTCTGGTTCTACTATTGTAATGGCTCTCTGCTTGTCTCAAAGCCAAGGCCAACTTGACAGACCTGGAATACATAAAGGAAAATTGGTAGGTCTTGAAATTCACCGCCAACTTGACTCAAGAGCCCTTATTACAATAGCAGTCCCTCTAAAAGATCATCCCCTAACACTATCCAGGAAAAAAAAGAAACTAACACCTTTCCTGATATTTTCTTAGAAGGTAAGTATTGCATGCATACATTTCCATCCTTGATAGCTTCAGTTCTCAACAAGTACACCTCCTCATCTCCACTCCCCTACTCTAAGACATGGTATTCAGCACCTCCAGGGAATACTTCAGTCACTCAGTTAACTATAAAATTTATTTTCAGCTCCAGATGTGACTCAAAGGGTCAAAAGCAAACTACACATCACAATTATGAAGGACTTCTATTATCTACTGTCTATCTAAAAGGACTTCTATTATCTATTTTCTATTCCATTCACTTTTGGGCTGATTCAGAAAATGTTTCATATTCTTTTCTGAGATTTAATGTATTGGGTTAAGTGATGGATTCTGGAGACGCTAAAATAACTGCCTAGTTGGCCATGTGATCTTAGGTAAGTTACTTAATGGTGCGTGACAACAGTGCCTGTTTCTTCAAGTTGATCTAAGGATTAGATGAGTTAGTAATACAGAGCTATTAGAACAGGACTGGTCATGGAGCGAAGAATGAACTTTATGAATACCAAATATGAAAGAATGTTTCAATTGTTGTCTCTCCATCTACAGCACAAACTCCTGATAGGCAGGAATACAAAGGACCTACATTGTTTTTGCATTTCCCCTGGTAAGAAAAAGAACCCCAGGCTCAGTGCCTATAGCTCAACTGGCTGGGGCGCCAGCCACGTGCGCCTAAGGTGGCGGGTTCGAATCCCCAGCCCGGACCGCCAAACAACAATGACGGCTGCAACCAAAGAATAGCCGGGCGTTGTGGCGGGCGCCTGTGGTCCCAGCTACTTGGGAGGCGGAGGCGGGAGACTCGCTTGAGCCCAGGAGTTGGAGGTTGCTGTGAGCTGTAATGCCGTGACACTCTACCCAGGGGGACAGCTTGAGGCTCTGTCTCAAAAAAAAAAAAAAAAAAAAAAAAAAAAAAAAAGAACCCCAAAAATACCTCCTGAAAGCCAACTGCGTAAGTAGCCATGTACTGGCCTGAGAAACAGAAAGATGAGTAGACGCCCTGAAGACATTTAAGGGCACAGGAAGGTAAATCTGTAACGCTGTTAAATGTCTTCAGGGCGTCTACTCATCTTTCTATTCGGGATTTGGTTGCCTTCTCATCACGAAACAATGCCAAAAATGAAACTGCAAAATGCTTGAAGGATGAATATGCATAGTTTACTCAGTAAACGAGGGAAGAAGGACAAGTAGGAATGAACAGAGGATATGCACAAACACACAGTTGGAAAGTTCCTGGCAAGTTGTAATGAAAGGTACTACTGTCCAGCGTGACTGCAGCACCGACAAAGTGGGGAGAATATGGGTCGCAGCCATGTTAAATGTGTTTTATACTCAGAAGTGCATTAATGTATATAGTTACCATTCAATAAAAAAAAAAATGTGTTTTATACTCAATGTTAAGGATTTTGAACTCTTACCCATAGTGCGATGGACAGTCACTGATGGCTCTGAACAGTATAAAAATACAATAGATCCTTTTTCAGGAAAAATATTTGAGAAAGATAAAATTTGAGATAGCATTATGAAGACAGGCAAGGATGCCTGTCATCTAAGGGAGTGATAATAAGGATCTAAACTAGGCCTGTGAGAACTTGGACTTGAAAGACACTGCAGAAGAAAAAAGGACAAGACTTTGGGGCTAGCTCCTGGCCAAGAAAAAGAAGAGGAGAAAGTCCCAGTTCTCACTGATGGTGATTAACTGGAACTAGGCAGAGCTGTCAGCAGTGCCTCCATAAAAATGGGTCAGATAGAATTAAATTCTTTTTTTCTTTTTTTTTTTTTTTTTGAGATAGAATCTCACTTTGTTGCCTTTGGTAGAATGCCCTGGAGTCATAGCTCACAGCAACTTCAATCTCTCGGGCTCAAGTGATCCTTTGCCTCAGCCTCCCAAGTAGCAGGGGGGACAAGGGCTTGCTGCAACAGCCGGCTATTTTTTGAGACAGGGTCTCGCTCTACCTCAAGCTGGTCTCAAACTCATGAGCTCAGGCAATCTATCCGCCTCAGCCTCCCAGAGTGTGAGGATTACAGGCATAAGCCACCATGCCAGGCCCGGAATTACATTCTTATAACCTGATAAAAGAAATTACCTTAGATTAGTAGGTATATTATAGGAGATATATAGGAGATATATTACTAAATATCCACATGTCTGAAGTAACCACATCCTTGAAATAAAAGTAAAAGAGGAGCCAAATTAAGTGAAAGATCAAATACTGTCCAATAGCAAATACCACAGAATTATTGAGAAAAACAATGAAACCATTAAATCAGCATTTTCCCAAAGCATGCCCTAAATGTACACCATAATGAAACAGTTCCAAGATCAAACACATTTGGAAAATGTTACATAGCCTATTTCACCCTTAAATACTTACCACAAATGCCAGAATATTAAATAGACTGAAAAGTTACATAATAAAATGAAATCAACTTTATTGAAAACTGAATTTCCCAAATTTTTAACCATGGAATATTATCAAATCTTCCATAGACCCAGTGTCCCTCTGAACATGACACTTTGCAAAAAATTCTCCAAATAACAGATTTTCATGAAATCAGAAGAAAGTATTATAATCTACAGAAGTATAAAAATACAAACCTTCAAGTGAAGTTTCTGAAGAATCCGAGTGAGCAATCGTGGAAATCTTCCTATATCTATCGCATTTATCAGTGACACTGCTTTTTTCATGCTAAATAAATTTGAAAAACAAAGTTTTAAAATGAGTTTTCCAAGTTGAATTGTACTTGCTATAAATAATTGTCTATAAGTTTTCATTTCAACAACTCTGCTGTACTCTAAGTCTGAGCAAAATAAAAAAAAAAAAGAGAGAGGTAGCAAAAGAGGCAGGGCAAACAAAAATACATCCCCAAAATGAAAGGGTCTATTTGGCAAATTTTCTTTCTTTAGGGCAAAGCAAACTACTAGAGGAAGCTTTACAACTAGGGGTACTCTATGGGGAAAGGGCATTAATTTAGCAGTGGTTGCTTATAGAACCACTTGCCCCAAACTGGGACTCCGAAAGGAGTGGGAGGAGGGGAGCAGCAACTAAGGCAACTATTTAAAAAGTATAAAATACTGTACGGCAAATAACGGAACTTAAAAAAAATGTATACAAAATCATTTGGGGTCACTAAGTACACAGTTGTTTTAAAACCCTGTTTCAATTCTAATAATCAACTTTAACTGAGGGGATGAGAAAAACTCTACTGCATCCTATTGGATGGGTTCACTGATGAAGTGTGTGCTCCCCAAGACATTGGTATTAGGCTAATGGAATTTAAGAAGAAGGAAAACCTTTAAAATGACAACTCTCTTCTTCAGAAGATTTTTGCCCAATCCAGGTCCGAAGTTATTTTCCGACTTCCATTATTCCTCCACATACTTCAGTACTTTTTCTGAATCCACACACCACCTGTACTATTACTTCTTTTCATTAAATTTTATTTAAAAGGGGGACTTTGCAGGACAACCATGGGCAGCTAACTTTACCTGCCATACACTGATATTAACCAAATATAAATAAAATGGCATGTTACCAAAAGCAAATTTCCCAAAGTCTGGCAAGATACGATCACCAGCAAAAAAACTCCTGGCCCGAGGCCCATTCGATCTTGATCGAAAAGGGTTATTAACACGTGTTTGATATGAAAGACCCTCCAGCACCAGGGGGACTCACTCTCTGCACCAGAAGGTCTGACAGAGAATTGAAAACGGAAACGCAACGCCGGGCCACGTGACTTCGCCGGACCCAAAGCCGCGTCCGGAAACGTTCCTACGGGCCCGGCTGCCGGGTGCCGCGAGCCCCGCGCGGGGGGACAGCCCGGCGCAGGTGACCACCACAGGCGGAGGCGCCACCGGCCCCGCCCCCACCCGGGCCCGCCGCGGCGCGCAGGCAGCAGGGACGTCCTCGCACGGCCTGTCGCGCCGTCACAACGTTACCACCCGCGCTCAGCGGCTCGGCTACCTGGGGCTCTCCGGCAGGATCAGCGCCGCCGACGCCGCCATCCTCCGCGCCCTCGCCGGCCGCCGCCCGTCAGCTGCGCCGAGCTCAGCCAATGGCGGCCGCGGCCGACGGAGTCCCGGAAGGCCCAAGCCGCGCTGCGGCCGCCGGGGCCGGGAGCTCCCGCGGGCCCCGCGCCCGGACCGGTGCTGCGGTGCTAGAGGGCCGAGCGGCAGCACAGCGGGCCTGCCCGCCGGCCCAGTCTAATCGTGTCTCGGGGAGGGCTGTGCCTATGGCTTTCTGAATTGATTGATTGATGTATATATTTGCTTATGTAGCGAGTGTGTGCATACTTGGATAGGGGTGTGTGTGTGTGTGTGTGTGTGTGTATAGACACCCTCCCCCTTTTTTAAATAGAGCAAGTTTAAGCAAGTCTCACAGCTGTAGCGGACAGGTGGACGGTGCGCTCCCTGGAGCGCGCCCAGGACCCCGCGGGGTGGGGCCTCCAGTTGCATACAGGGCGCTGTGTCACCAGACTCTCCTGTGTCTGCATCCCCGGGTGCAACCCGGAGCTTGTAGCATATACGCTCGGTTCCTTCAACATTCACTGAGGGCCTACTGTGTGCCAAGCTCTGTGCCAGGCGCTGAGGAAGACCCCTGTTCCTGCCTGCAGGGGTTGCCAGCAGTTCAGACGGACAAGCATTTCTTGCGACCCTCTTTTGAGTCTGACAGGGCACACTCGGAAAAAATAAATTGCCACAGAGCGAACCATCAGGATTTCCCCGGTGAGCACCAAGCGTTCTCACTAATACCTTGGTCTACCTTAGAGAAAAACGGGGGTGCGTTAAGGAGATTGAGAGGTGGGACCATGAAAGGCAGGGGAGGTAGATCGGAAGAGCTTGCTGGGCAGGGGGCCTCGTGGTGGGTGGGCAGAGACAGAAGGGTGAGGCTGTGCGTTTCAGGGAGAAGAGCTGTTTGAACAGAGTTAAAGTAGTCAGGAATTTAGGCTCGAGGAATCGTTAATGACAGGCTGTGGTATATGCACTTCATCTGGTGAGCGATGGGTCCCCATTAACTGTTGGGTTTTCAAGTACAGAAATTTTGTACTTGAGCTCTGGGAGCTCTTTTTTGGATGAATGGATTGGAAAGAGATAAGCAGGAAAGCTACCTAGGAAAGTATTGTACTAATTGATGGAATCCTGCGGTACTAAAAAGGCATCAGAGAATGAAAAGATACTGGGTGCATCAGCGGTAGAATCTTAAAAGAGCACGCAAAAGATTGGATTTAACTTTCCTTCCTAATTATGTTTTACTTAAATTATTATTTAAATTAGTTGGCATTCTTGGAGCAGCCCAAAAACATCCTAACTGAAAGGAGAAGCCAGATTGCAAATTAAAAGTGAATAATCTCCACATGGATAATTGAGTCAATTATACAGTGTGTTTAACACATACAAATACATTTAGTTTCACAACACTCCACATACTCCCCAATGTATTCACATCTGAAAAAGACTTCTGTGAATCTACATAAATTATAAGTCTCAGATCCAAACATAGATTACTTTACCTGCAACTTTCAAAGGTCCCAGTCCCTTCATCATTTCACTTTCATTTTGATTCATTGCCTGAAGTAGAGCCACTCAAATGTTTAGTGAAGTTCACCTCCTCCTCCTCAATTATTTAAAAACATAGCATAATATTTATGTTTACCCACCCTGAGCCACATAGACCATGGGGAAGGGGATAAGAAGGGACTTTTATTAAAATGCGGCAAAAACACACCTTGTGACTGATGAACAAATCTGGTTCTAATCTATTCTCAAGTTGAAAAGCATCTCAAATTGTCACCCTTCCATTTTCATTTGCACCTCGTTTCCTCCATTCTGCTTCTCAGGGGCCTGTGCTATTAAAAGAACTGGTATTTACACACTGGATGTGTGAAAGACTGGGTGTCTTCAGTAATGTTCACCAGTGAACACTAAAAAGAATCAGATGGTGCTTCCCATACGGACATGTCCGAGTAAGGCAAGAATACAGATTGGCTTTTACCCGGTGAGTAGTAAAGGAAATAAAAAATAGTAACACCACAAACAGACAACAGGAAAAAGAAATCCATTCATCATAGGGTGCCAGCCTCCTATGCCAGAGGTGGCAGGTTCAAACCCAGCCCTGGCCAAAAAAAAGAAAAAGAAATCCACTCATCAATAGCAAACACAGAAAGAAACATAACTGAATAATAAACTTGAAAAAAAACATCTGATCAAAAAAGAAACAGAGCTTCTGCCTTAGCTAAGCTGGATCTTAAAGATGGTCCCCAACTGGCTGAATCAGTGCTAGGAAAAGAAACTTTCCACAGAATCCTGAGAATTTTCTTTCTATTCCCCATCTGGAGAGGAGCAGAATTAAAGATTTCAGCCAAGAAAAAGTCATGGGAAATCCCTGGAGAATTAAGTCCCTGCAGGTCACTGCAGTTTGGCAGAGGACAGAGGAAGCTCCAGGGATCACTCTCTTGATGCATCTGAGTGAGGGGAAAGGAGAGCAGTAAGGCAGAAAAAATTACATCTAATTATCCCAAAGGGTAAATAGGGAGCTAGAATATTTGAAGATAAAAGAGAAAATAGGAGGGAGTAGAAAAGGTTAACTACAATGTAGCTGCAGTGAAAACAGTCTTCCCTAAACAGCCTTGCCGCATTGTTAACGCTGAAACCACAGGCACCCTCATCCTTTCCCTGTGCTAAATGGAAATGAAAAAATGAAATAAGGAAGTGAACAAGCAGGGCTGACTCAAGAGGAATCAGAGCTCTGGGGCTCCCCAAGTAAAGAAGGGCTGATATGAAGCCTGGGGGGTACATACACCCTCACAGACTGGACTCGCCCCTACTAAGTGGAATCAATCCTGACACAGCACAGAAAACCAAATCTACTAACGAATGCTACCCTCAGCGCCAGCTTTCTTTTAAGCTTTTATTAAAAAGTCAATAGAATGCAATATTGAGCTGGAATTGTAGCTAGAAGATAAACAGCTCTCCCATGAATCAGCAGAAGAACCAAGAAGACAGAACACAGAGGTCTGGGTAGAGGTATCCGTGCTAAACAGCAGGACGGGAAGAAGTGGCAGGACAACTAGGCGATGAGCCTTTAGAAAAATACATGAAGGAAAGCTATACAACATGCAAAAACAGATGAAAGTTTCAAGTGAACGCTCCGTACGCAAGAACTCCATGAGGAAATTAATTCAGTGGAATGAGGGCTAAAACACAACTGAATAAAACAACCCAGCACAAACCCAAAGAAAGAAGTTTAGCACTAAAAACATATCGTTTCCTGTCCTATAAAACAAACTACAAGAAAATTATTAGATATAATTTCAAATCAAATTACTAGGATGGGTTATTCCTAGTAAAAGCAAAGGAATAAGCACAAACACAAAGTAAATTCGGAGAACAAAAGCCAACATAAGAACCACTTTGTCCTCGTGGCAAAGAACCTAATGAACAGATGCAAAAATGCATTCAATTATTGCATAGAGTCTTGCTCCATTTTTGAGGTTTGACTGCTGACAGCTGTTAAGCCCCACTACTCCCTCTTCCCCTCCTGCCTCACATCTGGGCAAAGTGTTGAGTTAAGGAAGCCCAGTGCCCCCCCCCCCCCCTTTAGCATTGTTAAGAAACTCAAACCACTAAAGCCCCAGACTGCAGGCGGCAGCCCTCACCCTGGCCCTGCCCCTTAGCCACCATGAACCCCATGCTGGGTGCTCTTCCTTGTTCTCTCAACCAATTTTCAGATCTGCATGGGCGTCTCCTCTGCCCTCCCTAGAAGCCTCGTTATGCAAGTAGTAAATATTTTTATAACTCCCTGCTGCATGCATGGCCTCATCGGTCTAGACACCAAGCCAGATTTGAGGTGGGGAGTCCATTTTGCCTAGATGATGAAAACAAATATTTAATAGAAGACATTTTCCCATTATTGCTGGAAAAATTGAATCTGCAGTTTAATGCAAGAACACCTTGTTTTCCAGAAGGACTGATAGAGAATGATGAGTGGGAGAAACTCCAGGAAAATTATCAAACTTAAAAGATAAACGAAAATTTCTTCAGGCAGCCAAGTGAAACGAAAATCATTTACAAGCGCAAAATAATAACTCTCAGACTTCTCTCTAGAAATGTCTACAAAGTTTGGAGAAAAGTGCATTATGTCCAGGCAACATGCTATTCAACCATAAAGGCAAAAGTCAGGTGTTATCAAACATGATTGCATTCATTGCCTTCAAGAGTTCTTTTTGAAAAAATTGGTAGTAGAAAACAAGCCAACCAAGAGATTAATAAAAATAAAGAATTCAGGAATGAAAATTCTAAGGCCTGTAGTGAACGTTAAAACTAAAATTTAGTTAATTTTGAAATTGAATATGAATGTTATAAGGTTTGGTAATATATAGCTTAGAAGACTAATTTTTAAATGGATAAAATAGGTAGAATAAATTTTTTAAAGTACTAATTTCTTTGTTTTTTGTTTTTTCTTTGAGACAGAGTTTCATTTTGTCATCCTGGGTAGAGTCCCCTGGCATCATAGCTCACAGCAACCTCAAACTCTTGGGCTCAAGTGATCCTCTTGCCCCAGCCTCCCAAGTAGCTAGGACTGCAGGCACCTGCCACAATGCCCGGGTAGTTTTCAAGATGGGGTCTCGCTCTAGCTCAGTCTGGTCTCAAACTCCTGAGCTCGAGCAATCCACCTTCTTCAGCTTCCAAGAGTGCTGGGATTACAGACATGAGCCACTGCACCTGGCCCAAGAGTACTTATTTCTTTATCTTTCATAGCAATCTGAAAGTTTTGTCCTAAATGAAATACCTCCCTTAAAAATAAAAATTTACTGTAACTTAAAGTTTCTTATAATCTTTTTAGAAACTTTGCAAAGTTGCAATCTGGAGAGCTACAGTCTGACCATGACTCAGGCATGGACCTGGAGAAATGTTGCCTCCTCATGTTGTTTCACCTGCTCAGTCATAACTTGGGCAATGTAACCAGAGAGAGTTTTATTTTGAAAACAGTACAAGCAACTCAATGTCTGTAGCTCGCTTCATGAATCATGTTGTCACTATACCTAAAGGCATTGGAGTTTATGACCCCTGT